ATAATAATAATAATAATAATAATAATAATAATAATAATATGATAACAATAAAAACAACAGCATTTTATGACTATCTGGCACGGATATTTTAACTAATAAATACACTTTTTAAATAAATGCGCCCCGCTCCACTTCACTACACTACACTTGCACTTCACTTGTTTCTACTTCTCTATTGCACTACTCTTCACAACACAATGATTGATGAATAATTATCGAGGATATGACTGGATACGTGATGATACGATAAACAACTACCTCTTGCTACAATCACCTATTCTTTACACCAGATTCGAACCTGAAGCCTTTCAGCTCTGCTTACTTCGGCGATAGTTCAAGCCGCCTCGTCACCGCAACGGTATTCCATCGCCGCGGACGAGTACTGTAATATTCTACTCCATATTAAGTTAAGTTGACTCATAAAAGACCTCCCCCCTCCGATCCACCCACGCGCCTCATATCCCGGAGCTTAAGGCAGCCGAGGGGGGGGGCGTTCGCGAGGGGCGGCAAGGGCGGCGACCGGACGACGACGGCGGGGGCGGAGGGCAATCTGCGTCCCGCTCCGCCAAGTCGAGCAGAAAGCCGCAACTTCCCCCGCAGACTTGCAGCGATATGCGACAGCAGCTGAACACAAGATGTTTGCGAAGCCCCGGTAAACGAGACGCAGGTGGAGCAAATACGCGGAAGGCGAAGGATGGGGAGGGGAGGGGAGGGGGGCAAATGGGAGGCGAAGCCATGCGCGAGGAGTTTGCGCGCGGGTTCGCTCTTTTAGCGTCGGTCTGTGCGTGTTTGCCGCGCTAATATTCTCCAGTTTATATTACTTTTTGTACTTCTGTGGGAATAACGTGGGCGTAGGAAACCCACGAAATGCTTGAGTTTAAAAAAGGTTTGTATAGGTTTTTTGCAGATGTAGACGCGAACTATTTCTAACACCAATTGCATTGTAAAAAAAAATTCAATAAAATATTGATGATTTAACTTTTTCCCGGGATTTTCAATTATTACATTGGTAATTAATAAAAACGTTTACTAATTTATTAACTTTTTCATCGTCTTTATATTGCTTTTCATTAATTTTTTCGCAGTAGTATGTTAAATCATTGATTAAATAACAGTCATTAAAGTATCCTCCCAATAAAATACAACAATTAACTTCCCAAATAACCACTCAGAAGCTAATGTACTTCATTGACTTCCAGTCAGTTTCTGAAACACTCTAATTCACTAATTACTCCAGCCCGTAACCACAACACTCACTAGTTGATAAACGTCTTTCATTGCGTATATTTCTGGGCGTTCCCCAAGGGTGCTTCTCCGGTAATCTATTTCGAGATTATGTCCGCATTCCAGGCCAATGTTTTCGCGCGCGCCGCAACGCGATGGGGGAGGGGGGAGAGGTCTGCGGTTTGCTGTGCCATTTGCGGGAAAATCGATAGCGCGGAAAGTTGCCCTCTGCCGCCATAAAGCGCCCGAAGAAGCGGCGACGGCGGCAGCAGGGAACTGCGCTATCCAGCCCGCGAAGCGAGGCAACCGCTTTGCAGCGCTGCCCGCGGCGCGACGCGACGCCACCCGGCGCCACGCTGGCTCCCACTGCGTCGCGTCTTCCGAAAACTCGGGCGGAGGAGCCAACCCGAGATGGCGAATGATCTTGGCTGTCCGGGTGACGCCGCGTCGAAGGCTGTGTTGCCGACGTTTCGACGGATTCCATCGCCGCGGACGAGTACTGCAGTATACTACTACATATTAATTTAGGTTGGCTCATAAAAGACCTTACTCCTGCATCCGATACTCCCACGCGCCGTCCGTCCGTTATCGTGGTCTTCCTCAGGGCTGGACTGCGATAAGGTGGTCGAAACGTCGGCAACACAGCCTTCGACTCGGCGTCACCCGGACAGCCAAGATCATTCACATGACTCCGGCCGCGGAAGCCTACGACTTCATTTTACTGGAGATGGCGTTTGCGAGTGCCGTTGCCACTCTACACCGGTGGGGTAGCGGGCCAATGGCAACGGCCATCTCATGCCGTTTCGAAACCGATCCCTTTGCTCCTGCAGTCCTCAGTTTGATACTGCTATATTATGCCATGTCGATCCGGGTAGCCGAGCTCGCTAAGGCAGTAGTGACGTGGCGAACTCGGATCGAAGGATAGCGGATTTGAATCCCGCCTCGGGCATCTATGTATTTGTGATCGTCCCTTCACCCTTCATCATCGTACTATCACTTCATTAGAGAAGGATTAATAATGCCCTGTGCGAGGAGGAGGTCCTTGCCTTTAATGGGATGTGCAGTTGCAGGATGAAAAAAGAATTATGCCATTAGTTTATTATGTTCTTTTTCGTACGAATTAGAATAGCCTCATGAACGACGGAGTGAAAGCGGCTATTCTTATGAGTGCAAAAAAGTAACATAAACGAATTGCATACGCCATTTTTGTATAACATCATCATAAAAATATTACAAGGGTAAAATGTTTACTGAACCTGGAAGTATTATGTTACGTACATAATGTAGGCCAAAGGCTACTGTAATAGGGGTGGCCATGGTTGGCCGGGATGTTTATTGTTCGTTGTGATGGATTTACCAGAGGCAATAATTAATGAAGTTGCTAAAGTACAATTGTCGCTAATACCTAGAAAATCAGGTGAAAATTATGGAAAAGAATATGATAAATTTGTTACTTGGATGGAAGAGAAAAATATGAATGGCATTCAACTAGTGACCCAGAACAATACATTGAGAAGTCAGTAGCAAATGAGGTTAGAATCGCCAGGACAATTGTGTCTAGGGGAGAGATGCCGAACACACACGAATTTTCAAAACCTCATACTTTAAATGAAAATAACAGTTTCTGGAAGTTATGGTTTTCTTTCACGAATGTTTCGATCCACTCAGAACATTTTCATTATTAATAAATGTTTTTGAGCATTGATCAGTTAAATTTACGTTTCGTGGTGTTTGTTTTGTCGATTTGTAATTCTTGTTTTCTGTGATACGTGTAAATAAAAACGCCGTACTCCCGTCAGTTCTTTGGTGACGAATATTATTTTATTGAACTAGTTTCAGAATCCTGCAGACTGTACGATTTGCGATGCCATAACAGATTGTGTATAATGTTGGTACACAAAAAAAATAGATTCGAATATTACGGTCTTCACGATTATCATAAAACTAGGTTGCATCTGATAATTATTTCAAAAACAAATGCTCATTTTATTATTTTATTACTTTCAAATAAAAAAACTACTAAGTTAATTACGATTTTTGAAGTAGTACAGTAGAACCTCGCTAATACGAATTCCGCAAATTCGAAATTTCGGATAATCCGAACAAAATTGGGGATGAAGGAAAAATGAATAAAATAAATAAAATGCTTATTTGTAGTGTAAAGAAATAATTTTATAATTCCTGTAGAACTGAACAACTAATTATTGAAACACAAGTTGTCGAAATGAAACGTTTATTGTACTGGTAACTACGGTGGATATCTCGTGTTTATGAAGCAGTAATTTTCACTTAGAGGAACTTAGAGGAATAAAATCGGTAATCTTCTTTTGCCGTAAGGAACTGAATCTGTTTGATGATGCGATCGCTTCGCTACTTTTCATTGTCTGGGAATACTATTGATGAATATGTACATGTACGGTACATTTTTTCGGATCATCCGAACAGACCATACCCTCAATTAGTTCGAAATACCGGGGTTCTACTGTACATGTATGTTATTTTAAATTACAGTAGCTGTTTAGAGAAAAGCTAGTTTTTGAGTTCCAACTTCATATTTCAAATCCGAATACTTAGGCTTTCATTTTTACTATTGAACTACTAATGAACTACTAATGAAATGTTTTTGGCACCCGTGCTCCCTCAAAAATGTACTAGGTAGTTTCCATGAAATCCTATTAAGAAATAATGCAACTTGTACGAAAATATTTCATTTATGTTTGTTGAAGAAAAAACAGTAAAATTTGAATATGAGTGTGTTTTTGGCATGTGCATTTCAAAATTCCCCACTCCGCTCCAAAACGTGCCTCACACAGAAACTTTTTATTCGTACGCCAAATACTCACTTTCTGTGCTAGGTATGTAAAATATCAGTAGAACCAATACAGATCCAGTGCGCTAAGGAATTATTTCATCTTATCTACTTAGTGTTTTACACGAGTTCTCTAATGCTTGAACAGTTCATCATAAAGATACTACGCATTGCGACGCACCCACGACATGCATTGTTTTGCACCCTCTTCCGTGACTCGCGTGTTCAAGAACACGGTGGCGAGTGCAGTAACGGTGCATATGGACTCCCTTTACACCCGCGTTTCAGCCGAATGGTTCCCCATTCGCTCTGAGTAATGAAGTGGAAGTGCTCACGTTAACCGGGAATTGACTCGTACTGTGGACGTAAAGCGACTAAAATTGTCCCACCCTTGTGCCCAAGATATACCGCAATCAGAACACTCCAGTGTATTACGTTCTTGCTTCCGGCGCCAAACCGTAAATTCGAAACGGCTGGCGTGATAACATTCGTTGCGCTGATGCAGTAAAAACGAATGCAACTATAGGATTACGCCGCGTTCATTTCGATCCTCACTCTCGCACTGACGGAACGTAAGGGATTAAGTAAAACAAATGCATCACTTGAATTTATTCACCATTGCGCTTAATCGTACAAACCGTTGTTTAATTGATACGTAGTCGATGTAAAAAGTTCAACAATTCCCCCCTCCATCTTTTTCCGCTCAAAAAGTGTTCAGTATATTGATTAACTAGAACAATTACGAAGTCAGTGGTCGGAGAGGTTTTTATTCGTATAAGTATAGTGTGAAAATGTGAAAGCATTGATTTTAGTGAATAAATGATGTCCGATGTGTTGGGGCTGGTACACTTTTAATGTTTTAATTAAAACGCATATTTACCACGTAAAAACATACACACGTAGCAGGAGCCTGAAAATATCTTAAGTGTAAGATATCTTGTGTCCTCTCATCTACGAGAATAAGAAAATGCGTAACTCCGCTAAAGTAACTAAAGACTTCCACTTCGAAATTTTTGAGTTCCAATAAAGTGCTTTAGTCCACTGATTATCTGTTAGTGATATCCGTCACCTCGATGAAGTTTTGTACCGTCTGATATTTTCAGATTGCTTCCATTGGCTACAGGTAAAAGGTCTCATAGGTAATACATATTTAGAACAATGATTTCCGAGAATGCAATAAAAGAGAATGCCTAAAAAGGTTTTTTAGCTGTAATTCACATTTGGAATTGCATATTCCACATTGAATCTCACGAGAGAACGTACAAAATGGAGAAAGTGGAGTCTGGATTGGCTGGGCAGATTCAGTTCCCCAATGCCTTCCGGTCCGTTCTCCATCCCCCTGCCTCACTGAGATCTTTCATTTCTTTTATGACCGTCGTATATTGTGCGCTGGCGGTTTCTGTGCTAGTGCACGCGATTTACGATCGTCCTTTTTTCTGCGTCCTCATGAAGTTTTAAAACAATTATTTCCACGAAATTAATAAAAATCTTTGTCCGCTTGGATGATCCGATCGTCATTAGAATGACCAACGATTTTCAAAATTGTTTGTAATGACAGTTTAATAGAAATTATCTCTTAAACAATGGCATAAATGCACGCTCTAAAACTCTGACTTCTTGTTGCCAATTAATAATTTAATAAAGTTAATAGCAAACTTGTTTTAAAACAATTGTGAAAAAAAAACTGTTTCTTAGTATCTGATTTTTCTTGACTGTTTCTTATTCTTTTCATCTAAAGGTTGGTAAATGTGCAATTTTACCCATTCCGAAATCATTTCTGATTGTCGTTTTCATTTCATCCATTTCGTCTAGAACTATTGACTAATTCTTACTTTCTTCTTATTTCTTTCCTTTATTCCCGATAGTAAACCTGTAAAAAAATTTCAATGCCGTAATGTATGACCAACCAATGTGTTCCATCGTTTTTCAATAAAGCATTCCACTATAAATGAAGGATTTTAGTCAGTCTTTCCTCTACGCTTAACATTTGTTTGCATGTGTGAGATGTTCAAGACATGCTTCTGAAATCAAACGAAACAGTACTAGTATTGAATGAACATGACAACATTATTAATAATAAAATTGGTGCTCTGAGATGCAAATTGATGTTAATCGACCGTCGCCCATTTGATGTTGAAACAGAACTCATTGACGAATACAAGAACTATTATCGGTATTTTAATTCATGCTCCAATACGTAGTACACCATGAATTTATTATAAACCGAATCAAAAATGTAAATAAAAAAATAGAAAGATGCAGACAAGAAATATAGATTGTCGAGCAAGTAATCCCTTTCAAATATCTCGATTAAAAGATATCAAATGGATTCTTGGTAAACAAAGGAAAAGAGCAAAACAAATTAGTGAGTTTCTACGCTCTGAGATATATTATCTGGAACAACGCATTTATTTGAAATGAAACAAAGATTAGACTTTACAAAGACATCTTATTTAATTGACGTATGCAGCAAAAATAAAAACCCCTACTAAGACACAAAAGATACCGTGATGCATGTGTTGTGCAAAAAGTTCCAAATAAGATTACAATGAGAACATTAAGATAATAATAGATAAGAAAATCTATAAGCCAACAGAGTGGAATTCAAGAAATGAATCACTAGATATATAGAAGAAAAATGGGGGTGGGGTGGAATGAAAGTTCTAATGTACCCGGAAACATTTGTGATATGAGCTCAATAAAATAAACTTCAAAATAATAGAATTCCAAGTAGACTACGAATAAAAAAATTGTGTTGGAGGAAAAATAGTATTCTGAATACAACAGTAGGATGATACCTACGTTAATGGAGAAGAATGTTGTGCATTTTCTATTGACACCCTGTACCTACTATTTTAGCTTCTACCTACTAGTATATAGCTATTGTCACTTTTGCAAAAGATTCAATTCGATAAAATAGTAGGTAGAGTATATAAATAGATAGATAAATATATATGTATATATATATATAATGTATATATATGTATATATGTATATATGTATATATGTATATATGTATATATGTATATATGTATATATGTATATATATGTATATATGTATATATATGTATATATATGTATATATATGTATATATATATGTATATATATGTATATATACACAGCTTTTGTCGTAACCTTGCCGGTGACTGAAAAAATGTGCATGTAATAAATAACTCAATTAATTTCCATTCATCTTTAGATGTTCCCTAACCTGCACTAATTTTATGGTGACTGTGGTGAAAGTCAATTCATTCGTAAAACGCTCTGCGTGAACGGAGATTTTTTTTGATGAAACCTTTCGTTTGTCCGCAGGTGATCCTGGTGAAATGGAACGAGCCGTACCAGAAGCTGGCGTCGTGCGACAGCTCGGGCATCATCTTCGTGTGGATCAAGTACGAGGGCCGCTGGAGCATCGAGCTCATCAACGACCGCAACACGCCCGTCACGCACTTCTCGTGGTCGCACGACGGCCGCATGGCGCTCATCTGCTACCAGGTACCTCACCCCCCCTCCCGCCGCTGGGAATCGAGCTTAATGAGTGGGCAGTTGAGATGTTCTGATGTACACGTAAGCTTCCGAGGCTCGAATCTCGAAATTCTCGACTATCCGGGAGACGCCGTGTCGTTGGCTGGGAGGCCGACGTTTCGCCTGACATGGCTGTGCTTCCTCAGGGCAGTGCCCCGTCAGTGACGGTGGCTTGACAATGTCAGGCGAAACGTCGGCCTTCCAGCCAACGACGCGGCATCTCCCGGAGAGCCGAGAATTGGTTGAGATGTTCTGTCACCGCTAATTCGCAGAATTAATAGTAAATCCCTAAATATAAAAGTAAACTATCCGTAACTCTTAAAACAACTATTGTAAAGTACACCAAAGTTAAATCAGGTGATCAGACCTGTTGACACTGCAATGACTGATCAGGAGGCCTTTGAGTTTGAGACACAACGGCACAGGAATTTTCCACTCTAGTTGGATAGCTAGGGCTCGTGGCTAGCTGTACACGTAAGCTTCCGCGGCTCGAATCCATAAATTCTCGGCTATCCGGGAGACGCCTCGTGGCTATCCGGGAGACGTTTCGTCTGACATGTCGCAGGTTTCCTCAGGGCAGTGACGGTGCCCCGTCACTGCCCTGAGGAAGCCTGCGACATGTCAGGCGAAATGTTGGCCTACCAGCCAACGACGCGACGTCTCCCGGATAGCCGAGACTTTGTTGAGATGTTCTGTCACCGCTAATTCGCAGAATTAATAGTAAATCCCCAAATATAAAAGTAAACGATCCGTAACGTGTGACCTCTTAAAATAACTATTTGAGAGTACACCAAAGTTAGATCAGGTTGCCACTGTAGTGACTGACCAGGTCCTGCAGTGACTGACCAGTTTGATAGCAGAGTAATTTTCGACTCTAGATAAATAGGGTTCGTGGTCAGCATGCTCGCTTTTCACTACTCGGGTCCGATTCCCGATCGAGCCAAGGCTATTGTGTGTGTTTTCCCTTGCAATGTCGCAGCGTATGTTGCTGTGTAACGATGAGAAAATTCACCTCTCAGGTTGAGAAGAACGGAATACGGCCTGGGTATGTCTACGTGCTGACCACATGTACCTCCTTAACCCATGGCCGCGAGGCAGGGAGGTCGCGGGTAGGAGCGTCGCGCCAAGTTCATACATACATACTGGTACATAGTTAGATAGCTAGGTCCATTTCAAACATCGTCTGAAGGATAATTCTAGTGGCCGGCTGCTATCAACAATATTTTTCCGCGATTTCTTCGGCTAGGATCAGTCGAATGCGGGAGTAGTACCTAACAAACAGGCCACGCACCACGCGCGATCTTGCCCTCCTTCCTCATACTCGTCTACACCTTTCCCCTTAGATTACATACAATTACACTTACTCGCCGTACACTACCACACATTTCAGGAGATCCACGGGTCTCTTACAGCTTGTACCGAACGTGGTGGAAAGAGATGAATACGATGCACAATAGCTCACCCAACTTCAGCCAATAAGCTTCAGGCATTAGGTTGCGTCACAATATTACTGGGAATTTTTAAATACAGCCCGACACCAAAATTATGACCTTGTTATACGTCATCCAAACAGATATATATGAAGCATTTAAAAACATTATTGCATCTTTTAATTCAACAACACTTTCATCAAGTTATTTCTGGTTTGTCATCGTTGAAAATTGTCTCTTTATGTCACTTTCAAAAAGTTTCTCAACACATCTCCCTCTCCATGCAGCATGGCGGCCAGCGCCGGTATGGCTATTCAAATGAAGTGCCCATGTTGTGGTCACGTGATTTGTGACGCAAATTGGTGCTGAGCAAAACGAGCAAAAATCGGTACGTCGGACTAGCTCAACCATCTTTTTATCATGCTCTCGGGGCCTCAACCTGCCGGGGTAGATTCCTTTAGGGGGAGCCTTTCAAGCTGACGTGTATGTCGGCGCCAAATCTCTCGTTCCAGCGGGGAGGAGCACTGCCACTACACAGAATATACCACGCAAAACTGATATGGGATTAATGTCTACAGACGTTGATGCTCCCGGAAACACCAATTGATTATCTATCTATAAGAAAGTTCTGATTTATTGGATCCAGCTTCGGGAATTGGTAAGCGTTTGAATAAAATCTAATTTGATACACGTTCGGCGACTCCTGCCAATCGACGCGTTGTCTCATTCTCTCCCCGTTGTTGCTCGCTTGTCTGCTAGTCGCATTTGGGCCATTCAGGGCCCAATGAACGTGCAAACAATGCACTTCGCTAATAGTGTTTTAAAAATTAACGTGTGTGTTCGAATTTAAAGTAAAAGTAAAGAGTAACCATTGAAATCTAAAAAGGAAATTTAAAACTTGTTTTAAAACGTTGGTTTAAACGTAAAGTGTTGGTTTAAAAACTATTGGGGGCTCTTATGCATCAGAGACCCTAATGGCATGCTTAGTCTTCTTATGCATTTAGCCAACCCTGATGGCATTAAAAAACAAGACAATAAACACTGCGAGTCTCATCTGTTACATCTTATTTGCATGCTAGTTGCATCTTATTACATTTATTCTCTACTGCGCGTTCTTCCGTCTCCCTGTTTGTTTGTTTTCTTTTTCTCCTTCCCTAATCTTCCCGCTCCTTCCTACTCACTCGTTCCTCTTCGGGCGAGTGAACTGGTCAGTTTGTCTCTCTTAACTGAGAAGGTAACCATTATTCCGATGATGGGGTGATAGATAAATGTTGAAAGGACAATGGTGGAGTGTAACCACACGGTCTAACCACGCAGATACCCGCCGCGAACCTGCGTTATCCCCTACCACTTGGATCGGAAGGGGAACAAATTCACGCTCTAGCGGTGAAAGACGAGCGGTCTGTCCATTACACCACTGACCGGTAGGTATTATGATTCGATTCCGGACGGTGGCAAAATTTTTTACCCTAGCTGGATAATTAGGTCGAATTCAGTCGCTGTCTGTAGGAGGATTCTAGCGACCGGCTGCTCTGATCGGTAGTTTTTCGTGGTTTCTCCGATCAACACCAGGCGAATTCCGGCAGTACCCTAACGAACGGGCCACGGGCCGCGCGCGATTTTTCCTTTCGCTTCCTTGTTCTTGTTCTATCCTCACCCTTTCTTACACATAGTAACACATACATGCACTGGACTACCATACTTGTCGGAAAACCAGTCGGAAGCTTAGAGCTTATTCCGGCTGGGGCGTTGCCTCGCCGCATCTCACCATCCTGCAGAGGAAGAACATCGCCACATCTCGCTATGGAACATTCACGAAACTTATGGGGCTAATTTCTTTAGGTGTTCACGCTATCGGAAGCACTCAATCTGACCACTACACTATGGATCGCCGTTATGGAATGTGTCAGTCAGTTCGTGTGTTTAAACTCACACCAACGTGTTACTTTTATTAATACTAACAATTAGTTGCTTGACCACATCATTTTTAGAGTTTTGGATATCCCATATGTGATTTTCGTACTTCGTCGCAGCCTGTCTTCGATACATCACTAGCAAAACGACCGACGATGTACGGAACGCCGCGGTTATTCTTGGGAAGTCATTTGTTTAGAACTACCCTGATCGCAGCTTCTGCTCGATCGACGCGCTAATTCTGCGGAAATTTGGTCAAAGGAAACTAGCATATTTTATCACACTCCGGTTTGATACAGATATGTCGCTAATCGCTCTCTAATTTCATAAATTCACAAAAATACGTTTTTATTCGTTTGTATTCGAACAATGTAGATTGTTCAGTTCTATGACACTTAGCAGTATTATTTCTGATCTGACGTGCCCTAATAAAACGAAATCTTATGGTCTTTAAGGAATAACTGAATTCGTGAAACTGAACTGCTATAAAGTAATGAAGCGTATCTTAGCAAAATAACATAAAAAATAATTGTTCATGTGAATCGATATCGATATCGATATCGAAGAGTTTCTATTTATCGTGACTTAGTTAAACAGCACTTTGCTGAACGGTTGGGTTCACTGTTTTTCAATAATTGCAATTTGTGTGTTAAAATAATTGCCTTCAATAATTAATTTCCATTGCCATAAAGTTCTTTATAGAGTAGCCGTTCATTGATCATAAATCATATATTAATGGCGTTGGTCTGATCTTGATCATGTATTCACGCTCGTCTAGGCAACTTTACGTCTGTTATTGCCAACTATTCTTCACAAGATTAAACATGCTTTTGTAGGCTAGTAATTGGAAAAAACGTTGTACCCGGAGCAAATCAAATAGCAGTCTTGAATGTTTGCCGTAAGTATTCATTCACTGAATTTCAATTGAACAGTTCGTTGCAAATCATTTTGTAAATAAACTTCAGTATGGAGAGTTGTGTTCTTTCCTGATGTATCTGCAGAGAGAGGTTCCCATCCACCAACGTGAACAAATGACTGGGGAGCCACGCAATCAGAAAAAAAACTGGTTTTAAATAAATTTGATCCTTTCCGCTTCATGTACCGCTTAATGCTTTGGGGCTATTGTAATGAATGAAACATCGTGTTCCAACGGCTACTACTGTTATCAATTACTCGTTTGACATACTTTAAGAGGAGGGAGGGATAATTGAACACTCATTTCAATGTACAGTGTATGCCCAAGTAACAGTACACATTACCCCGTCGCAGGGCATATCTTGTGTTGTACGAGTTTCATTCTGCGACAGGAGTGATTAATATCATTTCTATCCCTGTATAATTAGCGTCATTTCCTTCTTCAGTGATTGGTAATTTTTATTCCATCAAGTCGATATTATACATCAATTTAACAAGAGTGATGTCCGTTCTGTAATGTTCTTTTGCTTTTGTTGTTTATATCGGATACATTTATCCAAAATATCCCGGAGATCAGTTATTTGTATTAAAAACGTTACAACTTCAAAGTAGTGACACTGAGATAGCACTCTGGTGGAATTTTTTCCTTTTCTATCCTTTATTACACAACACCTGGGTCGACCAGGACGACTCAGTTCTTTTAGGCAAGTGGCGATGTCGGTCGGAGACGTCGCGGGTTCAAGTCCCGCTTGGGCATTTTTGTTTACCCGTATGTTGTGGCATGGGGGATTTGTCACCCACCATGCATCACCTTTTTAATCTTAGCCTGACAGGATTGCGTTGGAGAACGTATGAAAGACAAGTAGACGACGACTATCCTTGATCCCTCAGATGACTCCGACGTACAGGGTATATTCCCAGTCCTCAGTACCTTAATCCTACCTGAATTCCTTGATCTGAAAAATAAGTCTGTGTGTATGATCTGTGTGCGAGAGTCCCTACATCCAAAATAATGGTAAAAGCACCGAGATGGGCTCACAGGTTACACCTGGCATAATTGACCGGTAGAGGCCGGAGATAGGCTTGGGGGCTACCTCGAAGTTGTTTTTGAGAAGCAAAACAGGGCTCACGGGGAAGGTTCCCTGGGGAGAGGTAGAGACTTCGGGACACCTGGTAGGTCCCGCAGGCGCCGATTGATGGCAGCCGGGAAAGGTATCAGGCCAAACTGGAAGAAAGCTCCAGCCAAAAATAAATGAAAACGTCTGTCTCCACACAAAAAATTAAGTACATCTGCGTTTGAATAAGTTGTCTTATCATCAATCAAATCACTTGTACGTGTTAATTTAGGGTCAGTTTTATTTCAATTAACTCTAATTTGCTCCTTGTTGTTCATTGTGAACGACATATGTCAAAAAATACACAATGTTCATTTTTAGTTCGAGGATATAATATTTCAATACTCTTTTGAAACATTGTGGTGGAGAAAACTACTTAAGGTTTTCTTTATATATACAGTCTGCAGAACCATTGATTGATGGCAGCCGGGAAAGGTATCAGGCCAAACTGGAAGAAAGCTCCGGCCGAAAATAAATTACAACGTCTGTCTCTACACAAAAAATTAATTACATCTGCGCTTGAATAAGTTGTCTTATCATCAATAAAATCACTTGTACGTGTTAATCTAGGGTCAGTTTTATTTCAATTAACTCTAATTTGCTCGTTGTTGCTCTTTGTGAACTACATATGTCAAAAAATACGCAATCTTCATTTTTAGTTCGAGGATATAACATTTCAACACTCTTTGGAAACATTGGGGAGGAGAAAACTATTTTAAGTAGTAGGTTTTCTTTATATATATAGTATGCAGAACCATTTCTCATGAACACATTTTCCTGCAAAGTTAAACAACCTCACTCCTTAAAATCTTCGTCTAATTTTAATTGTAATATTCATTCCTCCTGTCTGCAGCATGTGTCAGACACGGACGTTGAACTCTGCTTTTCCGAATGAGATTTCACCATTCTTTCACTGTTGCAGGACGGGTTTGTGCTGGTGGGTTCCGTGGCGGGGCAGCGCTACTGGTCATCCATGTTGAACCTCGACTCTACCATCACCTGCGGGATCTGGACGCCGGATGACCAACAGGTAACGTTTGATGATGACGTTCAATGAACACAATGAATGACATTCAATGAACACAAGTCATTGAATGTTCTTCATTATTTTTAATTGTTCTTTCCATGTTCAACTACAATTAGTTTTGTACATTTGTTTTGAGATATCTGTGAATTTTTTTTTCAGCTGACAATCCCCTTATGCAGATGTACTCTAGAGGACCATGTAGGGAAAATTTCGCACTCTGATTTTTGCATTCGTGTATCTAATTTGCGAATTTTTGTCAACGAAATATCAATGAGTGAATATATATGTATATTCCAAACTTTAATGTTACTCAAAGCCTTTGCTAGTTGTACAGTAGGCTTAGAAGTACAAAGTATGCAACGAATTGTGTTCAGAATGTGTTGATTAGGAATTTTGTATGTACTCGTAATCCGAGAAATTCTGAAAATTAATCGTGCAAAATATTGCCACACATATTGGAGCAACCTTACTGCAGCTGGCCAAATACTGGTCGCATAAAATTACTTGTCTTGCAAACAAACAACAGTGCTTTGGAAGTAGCGAGAAGAGTATTCATTATGGCCTCTCATTTTCAACAAATTCATTTCGTTCTCATGACTCTTGGATCGTGTTCTACAGGTATACTTTGGCACGACGTCCGGGCAGATCATTGTAATGGACGTTCACGGCGCCATGGTATCGCAAGTGCAACTGGGCACAGACGTCGGTATCACCAGTATGGCGTGGTCCTGCGAGAAGTTCAAGATGGAAGAAGGCGACGATTCCGATCCAGTGGGCCCGCAAACTGGTGAGCATTTACAGCCATAGTCATGTGGAAGACATATTTCTATGAATAAATATAACTTTAATCCATGATCAGTAAATGCAATGTGAAAATAATATTTTATATACAGAGAATGAATACAACTTACATGTAGCTGAATAAGCTTTTGTTAAGTCTCTCTTTCTTTGTCGGTTTTCTTTCTTTTTACCATTCTTCCTTCAATCCTTCCTTTTCTTCTTCCATCTCTCACTCTTTCCTTCCATTTCGTCTTTATTCCTCCTAACCTTTCTTTCTATTTTTCTTCATTTCTCATGTTCGTCCTTCCATCTGTTCTTTCTTCTATGCTTTCTTTTTTCTTGATTGTTTTTCCTTCTTTCCTTCCTTTCTTCCTTCCTTCTTTCCTTCCTTCCTTCCTACCTTCCTTCCTACCTTCCTTCCTACCTTCCTTCCTACCTTCCTTCCTACC